ACCGGAAGTCTTACAACTCGTAACGACGTACCGGAAATGATCAATCACGCTACAACACTCCATTGTCCTGTAGAATCCTGAACATATTTCAGCGTATTATAATATTAGGGATTGTTGTCGGCGATCAATTTGTATTTGTGTTAATCACGTGATGTGATTAGTGTTAATAGAGTGTCATTGTATTAATTTATTACCAATTGATTCAGGTCACTGCAGGGTGTTTGAATGGCGGAGATTTGCTTCGATTGAGATGAGTTGACGGATACATGGTGCTATAGTGTGAATATCTCATATTACTGTGACATCGCCCGGAGAAAAGAAACCATATCTGCCAGAATTTAATATACACCATACACAATAATAGACCAGTAGCATAGTGGCTTTACGCTACAATCTGTTTTTTAAATAGTTAACCCATTTTTTGAACATTGCATGGAATGATTTCAAAATTTTAAAGTTACTGGGTGTGCAAAGCCATGCAGTGTACATCGAGGACAATTTTGACACTATTTTTTTTATAGTTAACCCATTATTTGAACATTACATGAAATGATTACACAATGTAATGCACTGTACATAGAGGACAATGCGTAGTATTTAAACACACACACTGATTTGACCAGCTAGACGTTTTGTAAGGTCCGGAATCAATTCAAGAAGGAAACCAACGTACACGGGTATCTTTTCGAAACACCCGATTCCACCTTATGCGACTTGGTTGTCAACTACGCTCTCTCTTTGGAAGAGTCTGCAAAACTAAAACATATCTCTGTGTATTTCCGCCTTTTTCAACAGATTTTGTGTCCACACTAACTAAATATCATAAAATTGTTAACAGTAAGAGGTAAAATGGATAAAATTGATTAGAATTTAACCCCAGGTAGCCTGCTGATAAATATTAATCATTGATGATTCTATGGAGCCCCTTCCCCGAGCCTACAGAAACAATATATATATCAGGTTTTCAATTTAACACAGTTGTTTTAATTAAAGTTAAGTATAGTATATTTTGATAAAGGTCCCCATTGCTGGAAATCTTTCAAGGAATTAGGAATCCAGCCGGTTTTCAAATATGTTCTTCTAGATGATTTTTAGGTCCCAGAGACACCCATGATGACCTAAAGCAGTGGTTCCCAACCTTTCTCAGCCTTCACACTCCTGGAGCAATCACCTTGACCTTTCACACCCCAGTGCAATCACCTTGACCTTTCACACCCCCAGTGCAATCACCTTGACATTTCACACCCCCAGAAATTTGTTTCATCCACATTTTCAGCATGTGATGATGTGAGGTGCTCTCTCAACTTAAAACAAATTCTTCTCCTACATCAGACGGTCACACCCCTGACACCCTACTCCCACACCCCCAGGGGTGAAAAAAAAAACCCAGGTTGGGAACCGGGGACCTAAAGACCCCTAATGGAGCAGAGGAGTAAAAGTTTTGATTTCACCACAAGCCGACATAAACAATTTCTCGGAGTAACTTAGATTTAACATTTGTGTCAGCTTTTAATGTTTATCGTTGTAGTAAATTTTCAAATCGTGAAGATATGTTCACACTACCAGACAAAACGTTTTCTTAAACCTGTTTCATAAAGCGGTCAACAGAACGTCGGGCATTAAATTCTTTTTAATATTAGCTTGAAATTACAGAACATTTATCGTCTGGTTTTGTCTTATTTTAATTTGCCAGAAAACTTAAATACGAAACAAAAATGAAATAAAAGTTAAAACCATTTCGTCTGAATAAATAAAACATTAAACTCGTATTATAGACTTGATTAAAACCATTGAATTTTGAATCCCGAGAATGTTTTGGTTTTTATTAGTTGCTGTTAGATATTAGAATGTAAAAGAAAGGTTACTGAATAACAATGCGAACCACACGTTAAATTAAAATTCAACAACTGACAAAATATGAAAATATATGACCAAGCTACGGTATGTACAGGTATTTTAGTTATTGCTGTGTGGGGGGAATGGCTTTGGACTCTAGTATTTCAATTAATTATAATTCGATGAAATCATTCTACTAATTTTGAATTTGCTTGAATTGAAGTAAAGTATTCTTTCGTCGGTGTCTTTCTTTTCTTTTCTTTCTTACAAGAGTTATCGGTCGTTGATTAAATGACCACGTGATATTTATCAAACTTGATTTTCTTTCTTTTCTTTCTTTCTTTCTTTCTTTCTTTCTTTCTTTTTTTCTTTCTTTCTTTCTTTCTTTCTTTTTCTTTTGCCCTATTTTCGATACAAACGAATAGACCTACATCACCTTCATGTACACGAGTTATCTGCCGTTGACGAAACGATCACGTGATAATTTCGTCTGAAACGCAATCATCAATCTCCTGGTCACGTTTGGAATGATTTTCAGAACAATCTGATTTATTCCTAAATTACCCATTACTGGTTTAACTCTCTCCAAGTCGACAAGTGTAATTCGACTGGTTACATTCAAGAGCTTTCAAATTAACAGTTTACTTGATGTTAAGAAACATTTCATTAAGCTTTAGCTGATTCTTTCTTATTTCATATTACTGAGACTAGAGTACCGTTGCTGAAACGAGAACAGTTCAATAACTATTCGTGATCAATGCCATCAAGAATTGGTCAAGCTGACCATGAATATGTCATCTTTTCTCATCTTTCCTCAGTTTTCGAGTCAACCTAACTAGAAATCGGTGCTGATAATCCGGAAATGTCAATGCCATAAAGTTTGACTAAGGACCAACTGGCAGAAACAATCCTATTGAACCTATGTTGTTATCAAATATAAAAAATATAAATGGAGGAGTATGCTTCAAGAAAGCTAGCTCGCTGAGCGTGAGAGAAGAGAGGACAGACCCGTAGATAGCCGAAGGTCTCAGTTTAAGGTGGGGGTGGTTAGGCATGACATTAGAATAAAATCATCATGATAAGATTGTTGAAACGACAAAATCAGTCTATCCCAAAACATGTTTCGAATGTCGAATGTAATAGAAATTCGTCTACTACAAATCGATCCTAATGGTATTGGACAACGTCTTAATTAAATCTCTGTCTTAGCCAAAGTATCTTCGCCTAAATCACTCAAGATTTTGTGAGATGCTTTAATGGCCCTCAGGGAAATATAAATATTAATTTGACGTCATATAAAGACTGTTTTAAATCGTCGTCTGCAAAACGTCAGTCATTTTCCCGCCAACAACGGGTCACCATTGTAATAAATAAGCGACAGTGATTAGGCGGACTAATTTTATCAGGAGCAAATTGTCACAATTCAATTTACATCATCAAAGTTAGATTAAGAGCGTATGAATATTAATTGTTTGAAGAGATCTAGTCCCCATCTGTCTGCAAGGCCCGAGGGACGGACAACATATTTAATTACTGGCTGATAGTAGCTGAAGTTTTAACACTGAATGGAATTGAGAAGAGGATTTTTAAAGACGTGGAATTCATCGTGAATGGGTTCTATCGAATTATTAAGAGGTGACCAGAATCTTTAATTGTTCTGGTGCAGACGATCAAATTGCCGCCAGTTATTTTCTTCTTGGAATAACATTATGATGACAGAAGCCGGGTGACTAAATAACAGACTCCATATCAAATTGGGCAATTACCGGATGGGGGCATAATATCAATTAATGTATTTGATCCAAGCGTCAAAATCACCCAAGCATGGAACCCTATGCTTTCGTCCAGTATTTACACTCAAAAACTCCGTTGAGTTGTGACTATGTGTGTAAATCGTAGTTGGCACTTTATATTCTGTGTGTCAACTTCTAAATGACTAATTTAGTACATAGACTAGACATCAAGTTGACCAATATGGGATGCGAAAACAAGATAATGTGCCTTATAATCAGCAGCGTTTCTAGGAAATATCAGTTGGGGGGGGGGGGGGGAGGCGAGCATGGGCCACAAAATTTTCGGGGGGGGGGGAGGGACACTGGCTATTGTTTCACTATGTAAATTGATAAAAAAAAAATTGAAAGTGGGGGAGAGGGCCAAAGCCAGACCAGCATCTTTTCTGGGGAAGGTGTCCCCCCGCCCCCCTTCCCCTCTGCCCCTCTTCCCTCTTAGAAACGCCACTGCTTATGACCATCACCACCCGATAGCAAACGTCAGAAAAGAAAACAGAATTTTAGAAATAGTTTATTTATTTAAACATTTAATAATAATAATAATAATAATTTATTATGAATATTTATCACATTTATATTATATACAAATTAAGTAATTACATTATCAATAGGGCTGTAAGTATATACCATAAACCATCTAGAGATCTACACGCAGGACCATGTATTCTAGCATAATCATAGGTTGTTTTCATTTTCCCCACAAACCTAACATCCAAAATTTCAATTTGAAGTTCATACATAGAGATATATTATATAATTGATAAATCTTGGTAAGAAATCGATCCAGGATCTGCAAGCAGTACATACAATTTCTATTTATTTTATCATACAATAGAAATAGAAATTTGTTTAAAATAGTATAATATACAATAACATTTTTAAAAGTTTTCCGGTTTCGTCGTCTTCATAGTAGAATTGATGATTAGTGATCTTCCTGAATTCCAGTGTTGGAGAATATCTTGCAGGAAAGTTGCTAGGTTACAAAACCATATTAGTGGAACTTTGTGTCCATTACGGTTGGGGTCATCTAAACTCTAAGAATCTCTACAGCTTTCGTCCTTACGCAACCTCATTAAACAGTCAATAAAGTTCACTCTTCCTCATACAAATAATAAAATTTTAAAGAGTTTTTATAAAAAATTATTTTTAAAATAAGACGTTTATAGACGTCTCCTTCTGTCTTCTTCCAAACGATTCTTTTAAGTAATATATTTGAATTTAGTTTATTCAAATCACAGCACTATACACTTTTATTTCTATTCAACCAAACCGAATTGTCCTACAAAATCTTATTCCAATTCTGAAGCAACTGAAATAGTTCAGCATACGTCGTGCTCCCAACACACGTGTCACTTGTATTCCTGCAATCAGCCCCTAATTCCCCAGACCTGGTTCCTGGCAGGGACAGTCCTCGCAATGTCTAGCAGCCAACATCTTACACGAGAAGTTATGTAACGCATCATGGGCTTCTGTAATAGACAGCAATAACAAAGTGAATTATTAGTTGGGAAAACGGGCGGTTGATCATCTCGCCATAACCTTATTGTCAATTGAAGAACAAAATGTACAAGAGAAGTCTGAGATATGCAAATGGAACCACAAAGAGCATCACCTTAATTGTCACATATCTGAATCAGGTAGACAAGATCTCACAACAACGATCTCTCTATTCAATCTGGTTGATCGCCATCGAGTGGAATATGCCAAGCACCCTGTGCAATATTGAAAACCCATGGACAGACGAGTGTTATTCGACAATCATATTTAGAGTAAGCCAGATGTTGTCATACCACCATCGAGTATCACAGTTGACAAGGGGTTCTGCCTTATATAGTAATTCTCCTACCTTTTAGTTTCTGTTGTAAAGTGAATCGAACTTTTCTCTCCTGATCGAGTTCATTAGACAGAGTTTCTCGGACTAACTGTAACTGTTGGGCCATCTCGTCTCGGTAGGATTTTTCTCGTTTCACCTGTTCTAGATATGTATCTGAAACAATGTATACATTTATAAGTTTAATATTATCATACAAGCCTTTAGTGTGCCTTTGGGAGGACAAATCCTTGTCAAAACTCACTGATATCTAGGCAAGGGTCAAAATAAGCCACAGATGTCCTTAGAAAAGACATTTCTGTGACAAAATTCATCATAGACATCTTTGGAAAAGACAGCACTGTGTAAAAATTCGTCAGTAGGAAGGAACATTTGTGTAGTGTGGAGATAAAGGTTAGAGAAGTAAAACTTACCTTTCATGATCATAATTTCACGTTCTATTCTGGTTTTTCTGTCAATTTCTCTCTGAAGCTCGTTATACAGTTCTTCTGAAAATTGAGGAAATATATATGTATGAATATCTTTTAATGTAAAAAGATTACACAATCATACATTTGTACGAGAGGATACGATAGTATAGTATAGTAGTGGAGGGTGTCGCGCTTACTCTTTTCGAAACACCTGATGGTACTTCACTTTAGAGGAATCCACTACTATACTATTTTTACTCTCGATATTGCCATTCTTTGGACGAGATTTGATTAACGGAATCGTTCTGCTTGTACATGTTTTTATATTTAATGTGATCATTTTAATCTTATTATGGAACAAAATTTATAAATATGAAAATATAACTTACCTTTTGATAAAGCTATCTGCTGTTTACTGTCACACTCTCTATCAGATTGGTCTGGAATAATTAATTGTTGGAATTTTCAAATTATATAAAATGGAGTTTTGCGCGAAGGGTTAGAATTTGAATTTTGATTTATTGCAGACATGATTAATTATAGATATTCAAGAATTTAGAAATATGTGACGATTTGATGCAGTGTTAATCTAAGATTTAACGAGATAAATGTTCATAAATAGAACCCTGAGGTGAAGGATACCGTATATTTGCGTTTTGTACCCTCAAAGAGATCGTTGAAAAACAAATTGAACGGAAAATCGAATCTAAGTGCCCTATCGTCGTGTCCTATTATATATTTACCTGAAAATCCTGAATCTGTTAAGTTTTGTTCTGGTTTATTTTCATCTTGTATATCATCACATTTCTTCTCCTGATCAACTGAAATGATATATATATATAGTTGAATAACATATCATTTAATATTGATTTTACTCGATTAGTACCTGATCGTACTTCTCTTTGGAGAACCACTACTATGCTACTTTGCCATGCATTTTGATTACCAAAGTTGTCTTGCTTGTATGGATTTTTATTGAATCGTGCCAAACGGTCTACCTTGAAAGTTTCACTAGACAAATCTAGATGCTCGAAGTAAAGAGTCTCGCCTAAGAATTCAGATTCGGCTTTACTGAAACTGCCGATGATTGCTGATTTGGGTGTTTCATAGAGAACTTATTTCACTTGATTTGTCGAGAACAATTCTTGCAATATGTTGATAACTTTCACAAAAAGCAATTGTTATTGCGAAATTAGATAAAACCAATAAATCATTTTTCTCTAAATTTTCTGAAAATGTCTCTAAAATTGCACATCACAATAATAAATTTTTCACTAATTGAATAATGATAAACTTTTTAAATACATCTCGTAAATTTGTTACTTTAAAGAAAAAAACGAAGAAAAAAAAACTTTATAGAAAATGAACATTCGAGATTTTATCAAAGCAAATCTTAATTGAAGAAGAAAAAAATCTTGCAATAAAAATATTAATTGTTCCTTTTTTTTCGTTTTCTTTTGAATTTGTTTTCTGTAAAGGAAATCTTATAAACAATAAGTAAGCTTTCTGGGTTCCTTCCCTTTGTTTTAGAAAATTTGTTAAGTGGTTGTATTGAGTATACCGTTTGAATTATTAATTCCGGGCTTTTTAGATTAAGAAGCAAAAGAAAAAGAAACAAAAGAATATTATATTTCTTTTTAAGTAAATGTATTTACATCTTCAGCCTTTTAGAACGTGTTGAATAATTAAACGAACTGATTGCTTATTCTTCTAGAACACAGGTTTTTTTTTTATTTAGGAGAACTCCTTAAAGATTCTGTATCGTTAACAAATAAGACTAAAAATCCGTACAAGCAATAGAATTCCAGGAACCACAAATAACATCCAAAGCATGACAAAATCGAATGCAATTATTATGATGCAGTGGACTCCTCAAACGAGAAATACCATTAAGTGTTTGCGAAAAGAGTAAGCATGGATCCTACTGAGTTTGACTGGTTCAATCTTTTATAGACCATGGTCTGTAGCATAATTATTGGCACCAGTTGTTCACTCGTTCAATCCCTTGTCATAACATTTGTAGGAAATTCAGTGTTCTACCCATGGGTAGGATTCAAATTTTCGATAAAAACCCCATAGGTCTAGGTGCTTTCTATATTTTTACTCCAATCTTTTACATTTGATAGGCATAAAGTTCATTGAAAATAAAACCGGAAGTTACAGCATGATGTCACACCAACTGAATCCTTTTTCGGAACAATTAACCTAAGTACTTCATTAATTAAAGAGTCCAATCAACTGTTGACCATTCTCAGTTCCCTGTGGAATACAGGACATCAAAGAGATATTGAAACTTATTTTAATTTAATATGAACAGTATATACCTGAATGGTTAATGGAAGTGTTAAAAGAAGTTTAATAGCATATCGCTATACACATGATATAGTGGACTATGTAAGAGTATACGGTCTACTTGTTTCAGCTGCCCTGATCAGTCAATATTCCAATAGTTTATCAGATGTGAAAATTTGAAGATTGTAAATAAGATAATTCCGCCCCAGATGAGCAGTATAAATAAAACATCAAAAGTAATTGCAAAGACATTGACAATACTAACTTCCCCTTTGAGATAAATCATTGGTGAAATGATAAAGATTAAATTTTAAAAAGCACGTATGATGATAATTCTGTTGTACACAATGCACTTTGAATTAGGAAGAACTACATATTTCTCAGAATGCTAAGTCAAATTTGTGAATTTCATAAAAAAAGATAGATTCCAATACATACAACAACAATTAATAATAATAAGCTTTCATTGTAATTTTGTTTTTTTGTCGAAAAAGTATTTTACAGTCGAGGAGATACGTTAATCTGTCCTAAAGCGAATATTTACTATGAAAAGAGACATTTTAGTGTTTTGTAATCATGAAATTATAATCATGGGGTTGGGTATAGCTATAATGCTTTTAAACTGACAAAGCAGCAAGGTGCTTGCTGATGTTTAAATGTAAAGTAATAATTACCTGAAATTTTAGTTTCTTCTTCGATCAACTGCTCTTCAGTTTGCTGAAATTATTTGAAAAAAATTGATTAACTTAATTGCAATTATATATCCTTTGACCATGTAGATAGCTTTTTTATACAAGAGAGAATGATTCAGTAAATATATAATACAGTGGTGATTTTCAACTACCTTTCAAACGCCATTTTGAAATATGAAATTATCGATGTGTAAAGATAAAGAAAAGAATAAGCTTGATCTTCTTTGCTAGCATTCAAACGCCATTAAGGCCAATACTTGATATTAGACACTAGATTTTATTTAGAAATGCCCTCCCTGACAACCAATTGACAACCAATTGACGCCATTTTGAAATATAAATGTTTAATATTTTGTACCGGTTTTCTTTTCTTAAAAAGTGAGCATGTCCTTCTTGACTTTAATTTTGACGCCATTTTGAAATTTGAAATTGTCAATGTTTAATATTGTGTAAAGTTAAAAGAAGTGTAATATCCGGAGATATAAGTTAATAGAAAGGGTATGGATCGTTTGAAAGTTTGTCGTGAATTATCCAGGGAACTGTTAACTTGAATTAAAAGGAAATGTATTGTCTGATCATCATAATTGTTTGAAATATTAATCTTATAGTCCGAATCTCTGTACTGTATTCACCGTTATCGTCAACGTAGACCATAACAAAATTGATCATATAGTCCGAATCTCGGATCTGTATTCGCCGTTATAGTCAACGCAAACCATAACAAAATTAATCATATAGTCCGAATCTCGGATCTGTATTCGCCGTTATAGTCAACGCAGACCATAACAATATTGATCAGGTAGTCCGAATATCTATCTCATAATCATGTGGTATTTATATTCCAACCTTCTTCCCTTACTAGAACTGAATTTGGAAAAACCGCTCTCATTCTCTAGAAGATAGGTTTAGATCGGTTTATAGGACTATCATAACAAGTTCAACCATCCTCTTACCGTCTATGCAAAAACAGCTCAAGACCATCTTAATAGATTATCATAGCCTCACCCCACCGCGATATGAAGACACTGGAAACCTAAAATGACTCACTCACTCTCTGATAACAACAGTTTAGGTCCAGGTAATCGGACTAATGTTTGTAGTTAGCAGTTAATTAAAAGGATCTATTCTATTGTTTTGACATTTAGAATAAAATCTCGCGACATTTACTGCTAAATCAACTCGATAAATATTGCATGAATTTATTGCTAGTCTCGATTGTCACACAACTAACTTAGGAATAAATTAGGCTGATTAATCAAGTCTACTTTATCTGCCGTTTTCTATGCCCTTTGTTTTAGGGTTTTGATTCCCCGGAGGATCTAGTTAGTTTCCGTTAATGCTATATGATAATAAACAGTAATATTTGTATTGTTCTGATCATTGATCATACACGACAAGGGAATTAACTCCAACTTTATAGTCTATATCATCAAGTCTTAATCAATCTAATAGAAAATCGTATAAAAGAAATTAATCTTTATTTCAACTTTTCTTCTAATATTTCCTTCCGCATTTAACCAGAATTAACTTTATTTCTATTTCCCTCCGACGAATTGATCCTAATCCTTAGTCTATAATTAATTGATCGATTCAGCTCTTTTGATAAATTTTAATATTGTTCTGTTCACGGTTTTGTTCTGTTAAATTTTATATCTTGAAGTAAAATTATTGCATTTTATTGCGTGCTGATATATTTTCACGCTTCATGCTTCTGTATCACGAATATGTAAGTTTGGTGCATTGGTTTTTCTTTATAGTCGCGCAAAGATAGATTTGCTAGTTACGATTTTAAACAATCCACTTAAATGTACTATAAGTTATAATGGACAGAATCTGTGTGTTTTTAATTTCTATTTATTCTATCCAAAATTAAAAATTTCATCGGTTAAAGTAACATAGATAACATTCTCTCTATCTATGCAAGAAATATTTGCACGTGCTTCTTTTGCTAATTGGGTCAATGTTAACTGTGTGTGCATGGTCCTGGTTGTCACATGGTTGTCTAATAAACATTCATTGGTTAATTGAAAGGAAACAATCCATGATCTTAGAAAGTTACCGTCTGATATATGAGTTAATATTTACATTTCTACTATCACTCCCTTCAATAAACAAGTTAGCCAAACCTGCGTTTATTTTCCAATAACTGTAGTTTGTCACGTGACAATAAGGCGTATTAATACATCGAAAACGAAAACAAGGATTGACCCAAGTTTTTTACCTAGAGTCTAATCTAATTTTACAATTTATTTAAATTTACAGTTGTTGTTAATATTTCAATGGAATATTAAATATTTGATAATTCTATCATCCAAATAAGACTGTCTATTTATAGAACTATATTGTTAGGGGCGGGTCGGTGAACTTGATTGACAGATATCTATGAATTAAGCAACAACGGTTTCGGGTATTTAACAATTAAAAAAATAGAACATTTTAGCGTATTTTATCACAAAAGATAAACCAATGTAAATATAAGGA